GACTGTTCTAGGCGTGTTTGGGTTGCAACCAAATTCCCTTTGGAGAAAGTCCTAGTAGTATCCAACAGATTGAAGAAGTGTGTGATAGACAGAAAGGTGAAGGTACTCTATTCTGGTGGGAGGTACAAGATGGACCTGTTTCTGTATTGGAGCCGAGCTCATGACATTTTGAGACACTTCGTTGGAAAGGAAATCTTGGGGCAGCTAGATAGGATGACAAAGTTGGAGAACCGTGCCTTGCTGGAGGAGGATCGGTGTTTGTGGTCGAGCAATGGTTTGCAGAAGAAGTTCTGGACTGAGGCTTCGACATATTTGGGTTATCCTATTAAAGAGTTGTTAACTGTTGTGATTGGAGGTAAAACTCCATTAGAAGATAGGTCTGGTAGTGTCACTTCGGTTGAGGCTTCGATGAGGGAGCTAATTGACTCTCAGCAGGTGGAGAGTTTTGGACAGACCTTAGAGGTATCACAGCGGGTGGAGACTGATGCTACTCCACATTGGGTGGGGATTTTCCCACATACTCCAGGTCATTCTGCATTGGTTGGGATTCCAGCTGAGGTGACACAGCGTGGAAGTCATTTGGATTTGGGTGCAGATGATGAGTTGGGTTTTGATTCGAGTGCAGCTGATAGATGTAGCTTGGATATGGTCATTGGTTCACCTCAGGTGGAGGTGTTTGAGGCCATTGGAGGTGCTATCCGCCGCAGAGTTGATGATATTGGAGAAGGGTTGCGAACTCTTCTATTGGTTTGAGGTCGTTCTCGGCCATTTGGGTGAACTACGTTCGGCTTGATTCCTTGGGCAAGATGATACGTAGGCAGTCTTTATGATGCAGCCGGGGTTGGATTTTGATGGGGGTGAGATCGATTTGGTGAGTTGACACTGACATTTGGAGAGTGTTTGCATTCTCATTTTGGTTCTCGACTTGTTATGGATTGAGTCTGTTGTCGTGAATTGTTTCACGGTGTACTGGACACAACAAGTGAGATATTTGGTTTGGTTAGTGTCGGCTCAGTTTTGGGAAAACTTCACCGATGTGGAGAATTGTGAACGTAAAACCGCGTGTGGAGATGAGATTGTGGGGACCACAAAATGTTGGGCAACGTGATCTCTTCAAGTTGTTGAACGCAAGTGCAGGTGCGGAAGAAGGCCCACCCGATAGCTGCTATTAAATACCTATCCTAGGGTTTTGTGGGGACGCGTGCAAGGAAGGATTCTCTCTTTTTGGCTGGCGGCTACGAAGATCAAAGAAGGAGCAAGACAGAGAGAAAATTGAGGGGGTGCAGGGTCTTTTGGCGGCTATAGTGCGGAGAGAGAGAGAGAGAGATGGCTGTCTTGGGTTTTGTGAAGAGAGAAAAAGTATTTGGAGGCTGACCTTTTCTTGTGAAGAAAAGCAAGGAGCCTATTTGAGGGTTTAGATTGTGAGAGTTGTAAACCCATTGTATTCTTTTTCTCTTTAATAGTAGATCCCCCCTCCTTGCCCCGTGGACGTAGGCAGTTTGCCGAACCACGTAAAATTGGTTTGTTTGAGTTTGTGGCTATTGTAATAGTTTTTAGGATCCCTCGACGCGCAGTCCTAGAGCTGACGAGAGGAAGAGCAAATATCCCACTTTGATGGGATATTAGACTTTCAGATTCTTGTTCCCTTTGAGAAGCAAGAATTCTTATCGATCTTTCTCTCTTATTGTGCACCAGAAACTCTGCCGAAATTTCCGCTGCGCACAACAAAGCCATCTAATTTGAATTTCTAAATTTGACATAAAATTATCCACGCCCTTATTATATATTTTCTTTATACGAACAAAAAACTTCGGCTCAATTTATCTACTTTTGAAGGAGTAACAATTAATAAAACCAATTTCATTATTATTCAATTTCTAGAAGTAGCTCCATAACACCAAAAAAAAGCATAGAAAAAATAAATAAATAATATATATAAATCAAAGAAACCAAAACAACCCATGTGAGCACGGGCATAATGCTTGTTGCTTATATAATGAACTATTCAATTGTTTTAGATGATTCCTTACTTTCCTTCAAATTTAAAATCATTATAAGCAGCGGCGCTATTAAAACTAATTAAAAGTAATTTAAAAAGAAAAAGTCTATGCTGTTAAACATTGATGCGAGGTTGTTAGAGATTGATTTTGTAGTTAAAACATCTGCGTACAATCAAAGAAAAACGACAGTCAAATGAGCTATGCAATTCTTTTGAACGGATACTTGCCACCTTAATTTGGAAATAACTATATAAAGTATCAAATAAACAAGTTAAGATATCAATAACTGCCTAATGTAGTTCAAGTTAAGATAAGTTGCAAGATTCCAATATGATTTCTATGGTTTTGGATTTAATTCTGATATGGGTTATCAAAATAATTAAAAAAGGAGGAAGAGGAGGCTGTTACAAACTTTCTTTCCAAACAATGGAAAAAAAAAATTTGCTTTACCTTTCCAAATGTTCCCAACGAATTTGGATTCTCTTCCCTTAATATTTGATAATGGAGGTAAACTTGTTAAAAGGTACTGCCAATTTTAATGTAGTTAATATGATGACTATTTTTCCAAATATAAATTGAATGATATATCCTTTAATAATGATCAATGATATTGATTGAAGAAAAGACCTCTATTATTCTCCACCCAAGTATCTTACCTTTTTTTTCTTATAACTATTCTATTTGAAAATCATTGAGAAATAATACCATTCCCATCGTAAACATTTTATATTCTTTATGATGATTGAAATATGAGGTAGGATTCTAACTCTTTGCAGAAAAGTTAAGAATAATCTCATGTGCTGATATATTGCGGATAGGGGTTGTATTGGATATTGAATTTTTGTTCAAGAAATAAATAGAAAAAGAGTTATTTTCATATATACCCCTTAAATTACGGACATTTATGAAAATACCCTCTACATCTCAATATTTGCATAATTACTCTTCAAATCATCAATTTAAAAAAAGATCAACCACAAAGCAATTAATCAACTTTGATAAGCTAATTTGTAATTTCAATGTAAAAAAATACCAATGAAATAGTCAAAATTTCAACACGAAGTTGATAAATTTGTTGATTCTAAGGGTATCTTTCACAAGAGATTAATGAGTATCATATGTCATATGAGAGGATTCCCTCATATACAATGATGTGACAGGATCCCCACTAAGTGTGGTTATTAGGGGCTGTTTGGTTCCTTGTTTTTGAGGGAAAGATTCTTTTAAAAGCCTGCCAAAAGTGCCAAAAATGTCACTTTTTGGCAGGCTTTCAGCCAAAATCTTCTTTTTGAGAGGCGATTTTAAGGGGTGTTTGGTTCAATTTCTAGAAATTATAGGAAATGTTTTCCACTTAGGTGGTGTTTGGTTCAATTTCTAGAAATTATAGGAAATGTTTTCCACCTAAAATATGATTTCCTTGTATTTCTTAAAAAAATATAGGAAAAGTTTTAAGAAATAAAAAAGTATCAATTTTCTTGTTTTTTGTATTTTGCTTGTTTGGTTCAAAACAAGAAAATAGCTCATAACTTTATAGAAAATAACAAGATTTGGTAGATTTTTAATTAAATATGGTATGTGTCAGATTTCTGGTGATTTCCTCTCATTTTGAGAGGAAATTGTTTTTTGTAAAATTTGGTAGGTTTTGATATTTTATAGAAAATATTTCTATAAATTTTTTGTTGAACCAAACACAATTTACAGAAATCTCTGAAAAACTTTTAATTACAAATTTGCCGTTGTCAGATGTTTTGAGAAAAATTTTCTCAAAAAAGGTGCAACCAAACAGCCCCTTAAAATATGATTTCCTTGTATTTCTTAAAAAAATTATAGGAAAAGTTTTGAGAAATCAAAAAGTACCAATTTTCTTGTTTTTTGTATTTTGCTTGTTTGGTTCAAAACAAGAAAATGTCTCATAAAATAGCTCATAACTTTATAGAAAATAACAAGATTTGGTAGGTTTTTAATTAAATATGGTATGTGTCAGATTTCTGGTGATTTCCTCTCATTTTGAGAGGAAATTGCTTTTTGTAAAATTTGGTAGGTTTTGATATTTTATAGAAAGTATTTCTGTAAATTTTTTGTTGAACCAAACACAATTTACAGAAATCTCTGGAAAACTTTTAATTACAAATTTGCCATTGTTAGATGTTTTGAGAAAAGTTTTCTAAAAAAGTGTGCAACCAAACAGCCCCTTAGCTGAAAGCCTGTAAAAAAGTGACATTTTTGGCACTTTTGGCAGACTTTTAAGAGAGTCTTTCCCTCAAAAACAGGGAACCAAACATCCCCTTAGGCATTCTCTCTCCTATTTTATTGACTTGATGATGATTGTGTCACATTATTGTATATGAGGGAATCCCCTTATATGACATATGATACCTATTAATCTTCTTTCACAAAGTTGATGATTTGAGTAGTTTTAAAAATACTAAGATGCTAGGATTATTTTTGTGAATACACGATCCAAGTGGTATATGTATATATTCAAATAGCCCTGGAAAAAAAAAAGAGGAGGGACCAAGTCAATAAAAAGATCAAAATTAATCAGAAGGACTTGACGGATCCATTCCAACTGCCCGCCCCTCACGTGCGACACGTATCGTCTTTAAAATCCTAGATAGCCTCACATTTTCTAACCAACCACATCCCCCACAATTATTTTTGTCACTTTAATCAAAAATCAATTAAATCACACATTACGTTATATTCTCCTAAAAATAATACCTAAAATAAAATACAAGGAAACAAACATCTCCTTCTTTATAAATATATATCATCGTCATCATCATCAAAGTACTACTAGGGTCGGCTCTCAGAGGTATCTTTAATTTTTTTATTTTACCTCCAAATGTTGTTATTGATTTGCCTTTAATATTTTAATTACGTATTCTTCTCCACATCTGGTAATGTCAATAGTTGGTACCACTGTTATAGCTTGTTTATTTTATTCTATTCGATGATTAGCAGGTAAATAAATAATGGAAAAAAAAAGTCTGGTTCCTTTTACCCCCCCTTCCCTCTTTGTTTTCATACTATGTATAGATTATTTGTTTGTTTGTTGCCCATTTCAAAGAGAGACTCCGCACCCATTTCAAAGCCTGAAGAGGGTTTCTTCGGATCGCATGGGTTTTCCCTCTCTTGCTGCTTTTGGGCATTTTCGTGTGATGGGTGTTGAGGTTTCGGTGCGGTGGCAACTGGGTCTGCGTTTGTTTCTGAGAATAATTGTTCTAGATTGTAGATTTGGGTGGCTTTTTTTTCCTTTTTCTGTTACTATTTTCTGAACCTATTATGTTCTGGTATTGTGAAGGTGGGGAAGGAGATGGTGGATCTTGACAGGGGAAAACAACTCATGGTGGCAGATGAAGAGGAATCAAATTCTCAGCCCGATTACGATCATAAGTACCCCGAGCCACTTGCGGAGTACAAGGATGTTGTCGAGGACCGGAATTTATTCATGGATACGCTTGGGAAGCTGCATGCAGCGATGTCGACTAAGTTCATGTGAGATCCATGCCCTCTATACTTGTAGTTACCATCCTACGTAATTTGAAGCTTTAGTTATCTCGAGTCGTCGAGCCCATTTGACATTATAGCTATGACGCAGAAGCATAGTAAGAATGGGTGATACTGGATGTTTTTTCTTACAGTGACAGATGGGTTTTCTAGTTTAAGATAGAGCTTGGTTGTGTTGTACTTATGTCAAATGATGGAGGGGGAAAATGCACATGGAAAACAATGAAAGAAAGATACAAATAATAATACAAAGAGTGGCTTCATAATACCATAACACGCGCTCTATGCCTGGTCAAGGTAAAAAGCAACCTCTCATTCAAACACACGAGGATGTCATCTAAGGAGAACGTTATCCAGTGCACTCGGTCCATGACATTAATGGCGCAACAAAGAGATATCAATTTGGATCAGTGGACATAGGGATTTGTGTATTGATCCAAGGGTTGTATTGATATCCCTTTGGTGCACCAATGTTTTACATGAAGCTACAAGTCGGTTAGGAACTTTGCTTTTTTGATTAAGCCTCAAGAAGTACACTAACGTCTGTTATTTCTACACCGCAAACCAAGCTATCATATGTAGAGCTTTCTTCACTCACCTTGGATTCGTTATCTCTAAATGAAGTGCACCCTTTCTTTTACAAGCTTGATCGCAAGTTCAGGGATGAAGTCTCAACATCTTTTTGACATGAAATTTCAAATTGTTGATAGTTAATTAGTTATAATTGTTTCTACTATTTTTTTTTTAAAATCCCAGCATTCTTCTAGGAGGGTTCATTGAATATAGATTTACAACTAGTATGGAAATGTCTCGATATGATTCTTACAGTTTAGATGATAAAGACAGTCTCATGTCTCACATCTGGCTTGTAATTTCAATAGCGTTGGAAGCTAGCCTCCTGGTTGCTTATAGTACTTCCTCCTTTGTTCTATTCTATCTTTCTTCCAAGCATGATCAGAATCCTTTTATGTCTCCACCTTAAGCAATTGAACTTATGGATTCATACATCCTCATTGCTTTCAAGGTTCTTAAGAATCTTTCCTCATTGTGCATCTTACCTCTGATTGAAACTTATGTTTAGTGTAGGTCCTATTCACAACACTTGTTTTATTTATAGACAGTGACTTCATTTCGTTATCAAGGTGAGATAAACCAGTATACTGCCCACAAAATGAATTTTGAGTTTTTCCAATTATCTTGTTTCTTCTCATTGACTAGGGACGAACATCTGAATGCCTCTATCCTTACTAAATATGTCTATATATTTAATTGAATAATCACTCACTATATTCTGCACATGTCATATTACTTTTATAATTAAGAGGAAATCATATCCCAATGTGTGGAACGCAAATGGAAGCGGCTGGAAGGAAAATCATATCGCAGTATGTGGCATGCATCTGAAAGCGGGGAAAAATTCAGTAGACATATGTATTTGTATTGAATATGACATAAAAGTGTTCTGGAAATGGTGAAAAATAAATTTTATTACTAATACAGACATGTAAGTGTTGTTGGAATTTGGAAAGCATGGGAAGATCGCAGGGGAGACATCTCATATCATTTACATATTGGGAATCTTACGTACTCGTTCATGTTGTTACCATGCTAGATATTCATTTTTACTTGTAAAATTTACAACTCAGTCTTTAATAGGAGATGTGTTGGACCTAGAAGTTGGAAATATGATGAATGCATCATGTTGTTTGCAATTCAGTTTAAGTTTAAATTATAGATTGTTCTAGTTTTCTTGCTAATAAAGTATGCCAAGGGACAATTATTGTTCCCTTTGCTATTGTCAAGGGTCAATTATTGTTCACTTTGCTATTATAATTTAGAAGCTTATAAAATAGTGTAATACCCATGCGTTGTTTGTGTCTGTATATGTAATTATTCACGTATATATAAGATTCCATTTGTTTCATATTCTGTCTCCTAAGTTTTTAGCATTTGTTGTATCCTTCATTCTTATTGGTCTATCATGGGTTGGATGTAAAGCTAAGAGAGTCATAGTCATGTCAAAGCAAGCTGAAAATATGAAAAATTGGAATGAATCAAAGATAATTTTTCGGAGAAGGCTGTGAAAAGAAACAAAAAGGAAAAAAAATCTAATAGGGGTGCATACAGACTGGTTAACACTAGCATTGATAAAACCTGTTAAGATGGAGTGCATTAAGAAAAAGTCAACAGTAACAAGGAAAACTTGTAATAATAAGGACGTGGATGTTTACTATATGCTCAAACTGAAATGGTTAACACTAGCATTGATAAAACCTGTTAAGATGGATTGCATTAAGAAAAAGTCAACAGTAACAAGGAAAACTTGTAATAATAAGGACTTGGATGTTTACTATATGCTCAAACTGAAATACGTTATAGAAGTCAATAAGCTCTTGGATTTACCAAACCATGTCAATCATACTTATCCACATTTATTTATTAATTAATGTTATTATTAGTCATTATCATGCATCAGCTTTTCCAAGTCAGTGTTAGCCTTAACGTTTCATATTTTAAATTATTTTTATATGCTGGCATCTCAAATACCTATGATTACTGGCATCACACATCAACTGACTTAATATACCTTTTGTGTGGAATATTTCATGTCTAGATGGGATTAAGAACGGGTTCATCTTTTTTCATTTAAGTGTGGATGAACTACTTAAATGCTATCAAAATTTATGTAGGATTTCAATAAACCTCTTATCAGTCAACAATGTCTTTTAGACTCCTTGTTTGAACATTCTATTTGGCAATTACCACATATTATATACTTCATAGATGCTGTAAAATGCATGCTAAACTAGTCTTCTTATGCTTTTTGATATATAATATTTAAAAGAAAATTTGCCTGGCATTGTAGATATTATGTTTGACATGTTTTTTTGTGTCCGAAAATTCAGGATTCCTGTCATAGGAGGAAAAGAGCTTGATCTTCATCGACTATTTGTGGAGGTTACAGCACGAGGTGGTATCGAGAAGGTACCACAACTTGTCATTTGTATTTTGTTTCATATGCATGTTAGCTATTTCTTTCTGTGATAGTACCTTTTCGCATTTAAGCCACCTAATTATAATTTATCTCATGCAAGAAGTGTTTCTAACATGGAAAACATGAGTTCTAGATTAGCTGGCTTGATTTGACGTGAACGATTCCTTGAAGACATCAATTTTCCATGCGCAAACTCCGCAAAGTTATGTTACTATCTTGGTATGGGTATGCCTTATGGTAACATCCATAATATATGAACTTCACAATTTCTTTTCGTCTAACATTAGTTGGGTCAGACATGACTAACCTTTTCTCATATTCTTCCTTGATAACCAGTCCCAGCCAAGTGATAGCCTATCTTATGCTGTACTGTAGTATGCAAAAAATATTTTAATAGGAAAAAAGAACTTTATCCTTCCATGCTTCAAGTCTGGGTTTCTATTGCTCGTGGGTTGTCCTTCCTTAAAAAATAAAAACTAACCTAATCAAGCTGTCTTCCATTAACGGCAAGGAGCAAAAGGAACAATTAGTTAAATGGACTGGGGTATTTGATGAAATACAAGTCAGGTGGCTGGGGGTTTTAATTTGAGGAAGTGGTAATGAATGTTTTAAATCATAAGAAAGTTAGGGATGGAAATGAATCCTAGGACTCTACTGGTATTTACAAATGGTAGAGGGACTAAGCTAACATGCGTTGGTTTTACCTGAAGACACAGTGTGCAAGGGGAGTCAAGGATGGTTAGAGTCTGTTAAAAGATTGACATTTGAAGAGAGTATTTATGGCTACCAAAATATTGTGGTTTGTTTTGGTTTCAAAATGATATTTTTGTTAAGAGATTAAATTGGATTGACTAACCAAGGGAAATCCCTAATCTTATGGAAATCAGCTTTATTTTTCAAAAGGAGCATGCTTGTTAAATGAAAGTTTTGATTGTTCAGGAAAGATTTGTCTAAATTCGAATTTTGAATCCATGGGTGAGTTGGTCAAGGAGTGTAAAGTGAAGGAGGTTGTGTACGCCATGGTTGCATTTCTCTAGCTGGTGTCTGATACATATGTTTATTTAATCCATATCGTGTTAGTTCTCCCTAGGTTGCTTGTCCTGGACCTCCTGGTCAGAAATTCTTTTTCAAGCTCCTATTTTTATGGGCTTCATTGGGTATGGATACCCATCAGGTATGTTGTACAAATACTTTGAAAGACATGCCCACATCTTATACATATTTCAAGCTTAAATACTCGGATACTTGATGATTACTTACAAGATACTTCTCAAATTTGTAAATCTTTCGCATATCTCATGCACATTATGTGTACTGGAGATGTATTTGTAAGTAAGATGTTAGCAATCTAATGCATATATTCACAATGCCATTTGATTTGTAGATTAAAATAATTACATGTCCAATTTATTTTTAAAACTAGAAATATCCTTTTATTAATATAAGTTGAGAATGTTTCCTTTTTTTCTTTTTTTTCCTGGACTTATCGTGTTTTCATAACCATTGCGACCTTACCCATCCATGTTGTAGAGTAACACACACATGCACATCACTTTATGACCACACATTATCATTTTATAACCTTTTCATATCCATACCATCACCATGATACAAGTCATCATAATCCATCAGTATCATTTTGTTGACTCAATCAAAAATCAAAAGTAGTTGGTTATTTATTAAAGAAAATCCATTTCTGTCTTCATCAGTTTCTGCTTATGGAAACCTTTTCATTCAATTGTTACCTTGGCATTCCTTAATTTCTCTTTCTTTTTTACTCTCTTATTTCTAGTGTAAGCCATTTTGCTTGCCTGTACTGTAAAATTTTTTGTGGACCAAGATTAGTTGTTAAGATATGGTGGTTTTTTGTTCCTCTTGTTCTTTTAACATGTGTATGCATTCATCTCCTAAACTGTTCGACCTCATATTTATCCTGCTTCTTTAAATGCATAATGTCTGTCTGCTTTAACAGGGAGATACCCGGAGCAAGCAGTTTTTAGTTTACTATTTAAGTTACTTCCGCTATGTACTTATGTTATTAAGATCTCAATTTTCAAATTTTCAGGTAGTTGCGGATCGTAGATGGAGAGAAGTAACTGCTGTATTCAATTTCCCATCCACAGCCACAAATGCATCATTTATATTGCGCAAGTACTACAATTCTTTATTGCATCACTATGAACAACTGTATTTCTTTGGGTCACAGGGATGGAATTCACCTGTGGAAGGTTTGTACTTGGTGCAGTGATCATTTCTTTGTTTCCCCTTAATTGTTTAGTTTTGGTCTTTATCATTCATTTTGTACACTGCAGCTTCTCCAAAAACGCCCGCTGATCCAATTAAAGCTGTGAGGTTGGCTGAGAATGTCTTGCAAAAATCTACAAATTTGCCTAGCATCCGAAAAAGAAAAAGCAACGGAGAGCTTATACCTGCTGGTTTGTTGTTTTCTCACTGCTAAAGTTTGGGTATAAGTTTTATATCTTGTTCTCTTAAAATAAGTTTTATATAGACTTTTGACATTCAATTCAAGCATCATATACACGTCAACTAATAAGCCCATCCTTCAAACTTGGCACGTAAATTCCTAATATTAAGAATCTATTATGTTTTCCTCCATGCAAGATAGGGTATTGGCGAGTCAGCTTGAGCTAAACAAAGTAGGATAAATTCTGAAGTTCTTGTTCTTGTTTAGTTTTTGGGACCACGAGTTTGTTTTTTTGTGGTGATGTTCGTGTCGTGGTTGGTGGATTCAGCCATGGGTTGAACGTGGTTTGTGGTTTGTTTAGCTGAACGTCATTTGGAAAACAAATATAGCCTACAAGAGGGCACCAAATTACTTAATTTTATATCTTTCCAGAATAAGTCGGCTTGGGATTTTCTCAGGGTCCACGATATCTTGAGACTACATGAGGGTTGGAGATGCAAGTTTAAGATGCATCTGGTTATCACTTTTAAACATACCCATATTCAACTATGTATATAAGGTTTGGACTTGTCTATGCTTTCAATTTAAACTCATATGAACTTCTAGGATTTTGTTCCTCCTACTTAATTTTTACATGGTTGGATATTTTTTGGTTCATTGTGCTCAGTTAAAACTCTTACAGACACACAACTCAAATTGTTCCATTTTGTATGGAATCTCTTAAACTCCAATATCTGATCTCCCACTTAAATATGATTATTGTTCATATAATATGAACAATGCATTCATGATTAAAGAAGAAAAGTGCCTTGCGTACTTTTAACATAGCACATAGCCTTTATCAAGTACTTTCTCTGAAACTTCCATATGGTCCGTCAGGAAGATTTCAGCAAGTACTATTAATTTTAAAAAAGTTTCAAAAGGCAGCATCAAGAGAGGATGGACATGGATATGATACAGCATAGTGACACAATAGACATTATATTAAACCTTTAAAAAATAGAATCTCAATGCTCTAAAGCTGCAACTTCTGATCGAGTAATCAAACAAAACAAAAGTCTAGAAGTCCAATATTACTTCAACAATCAACTAATACATGTTGAGTGAAGCCTCTCATATGTTTTGTAAGGGGCTTATATTTTCTTAACAATGTTAACATAGTGTCCTTCTTAGAGAAAAATATCCATTTATATCTCTATCTAAGCAATCTTTTGAAAATTTTAAATGCCGACACGACTTTGGTACAATTTTTTCGTTTCCTAAAATTTAACATCGTTATTAGCTCTCCAATGCTTGTAAAACGAGTGTCATCCAATAGTGGGGGATCTGATATGTACCAAACAGGACAAGAGACTCACCTTGAAGTGTCCAAATTTCATAACTATAGTAGGTTATACTCTTGGCATATGATGCACATCATTTAAGTAAAACTTGTTTTCTGCTAACTGCCAACATGGTTTTCATCTACTTGTTGAATATTTATTTAGAAACATTTGCAATTATTTATTTATCTCGGTTCATTGCAGATAGACCCCCTGTACCATCGCCCAATGGCGGACAGACCCCCTGTAGTTCTGTTGTTGTAGGTATACCCCTATACTATCGCCTACTTGCAGATTGACCCCTGAGTGCATTTTTTTATTCTTTTACCCTCAGGAAGTGTATTTATCAAAAGAATAATTTTATCTTTCTCTGAGGTAAAAGAGAGAAAAGTTCATTCAGGGGGTTTATCCGTAATCAGAGATGGTACAGGCTATCTGCAATTAACCCTATTTTTACAACCCACTAGTGAGGATGCACGTGCATTGCACGTGGTTAAATTTCATAATAATTTTGTTTTATTCCCTTAACATAAATTGGTTGTGAATTTGTTTCTATTAGATCTTCACTTGATGATTGAATCTTGTGTGAAACTTTAACATACTTACGTTCATGTTCCTTCAGCCTTAATTTATATGTTTTCTATTATCATGTTATTATCATGTTAATTTTAAAATATTTCATGAAAATTCCTTCTAAAAATTTGTTACAAACTATGAATCTTTTTAAGCGAAAGATGGTTTAAACACAAAAGCAACCCTCATTCTTAATTTGCTAGTTAGTTTGCTCTAGCGTTACATTTCCTTACTTATCGTATATGTCATCAGAAATCAAGTTGATCAGTTGAGAACTTTAGTATATATATATTTTTTGTAAGGGACAAATATAATTGGTAGAACTGCAGATGTTGCCTATAGGTTTACATCTAAAGTGTAACAAATTATGTACGTACATTGTGAGGCTTACAATCATCCAACTTTATTTATGAGATAAGCTTTCTGAATCCTTCTGCAGTAATTTTCCATGGACTCGAGCTCACAACTTCATGATGTTTATATATGTCATCAAAACTATATTAGCAACTTACACTGGTTTTAAAGTCTAATCATAGTTCATTGGTGATAATAAATGTCTAAGTTGAAAATGGAAAAAATACCAACTACTTTTACTTTTATTATACATTTATGTTATACCCTCAATATGTGTATGCAGCATGTGTAGAAGATATATGGTAAAAGTAAAAGATTACTTATTCTTTAAAAATATTATCCTCAATATGTAAACATGTGTAGAAGATCAAGAATAAAAATGAACTCTCTTTTAGACATTGATTCATTATAAATGTTTAAAATCGGAACTCTCTTCTAAATAATTATCAAGATATCTGCATATGCAAGTTCTCATCCATCGGGATGAAATATTCTGCTTTCAAACTAAAATTTTGACATAAATACATTAATTGCTAATTCCTTCACAACAACATTCCATTATTGTATGTCCAACTTGATTCTAAATCATGGCTCTTATCTCATAGGCTCGTCATCCTCTCTCATGATAAAAGATCTTTCTTATGACCAATATGCAACTTCATGGAGAACTCATCAAATATTACTATTTTCCTAAGAAACTAATTATGCTAAAAATAATCATGTAAAGCTCCTGCTTATTGGTGAATATCAAACGAGTTCATCAAGATAACAATTATCCATGTACTTTCTTTTTGAAGCATAATGGTTAATATTTGTGAATATCAAGGCAAGTATAGACAAATTTAAGGTGTAAAATTTTTATTTTTACATATTTTGAGAGATGGTTATAACATTTTATTAGAATCAAACAGACAAGAAACACAATAGAAAAGAGGTATAAAAAAGACGAATAAGACAAACTAAGGTTACTATTTATAAAACCAAATGTAAAGATGAGCAAATAAGAGTGCCTATTATTGTAAGTGATATTGCAGTGCAAGTAAGAGCACCACGTCAACTTTTTTTTCATCTTTGTATTTATGTTTTGGAGTATCCTCAGCTAGCACAACCACATGCTGTCCATCTTGTGGCCAGAAATGAAATTCAACCAAGACATTGAAAATATCAATAATTAATTTATATCATAAAACTATATTTTTTCCAAAAATTGATTTTGGAGAAATGGAAAACTACTAATTTGGCGGTGAGAGGAGAAATAAGGAGGAGCTTAAAAATCTCAACGAAAAAAATATAGCCAGAAAATGGCCATTTTGATCAGCTCAATAAGGTTGAATATTTAAGAAAACCTCCCAAAAACACTTTGAATTTTTGCACTTAGTTTCCATAATGGAGTTGCTCTATAATTTTATATAGATGAAAATTAACTTTTCAGGCCAATATATTCCACTAAGATCATTCATATCTTCAAGTTAGTCCATAAGCTTTCAAACAATTTTTGTTATAAAAAATTATAAACAATTTTGAAGAATATGAAAATTATACATAGCTGCCTCAAAATTTAAAATGGCAAACAACTTGCACAAAAATTTTTAGTATTAAAAACAATCCTCTTTAGATTTCTAAAAATACATATAATTCCCTAAAAAATCAAGATATTGCAAACAAATCCTTAACAAAATAAAAAATTACATATATCCTCTAATAATCTATAATTACAAAAAGTCCTAAAAAACCAAAAAATTGTAAAAGATCCTAAAGATTCTAAAATTATAAATTAGCTCCTAAAAATATAAAATTACAAATAAACTCTTAAAATTTTTGAAAACTACAAACAACCCAATTTAAAATCTATAAATTATAAATAGGCCCCTAAAAATTCAAATAAACATCTGAAAAATATATAAAGTAGGATGCAATCTAGCTATCAAGTTAAGATGAGGCAAAAAATCATAAATAGATAAGAGAATTAAGTGAAAAATATTATAAAAAAAATCATGATGTTCTTTTCTGAGAGCAAAACAAACTTTCAATTACAAATTGAACTACATGAAAGGGAAGAGATAAAAAAATGGTTTAAACACCTCTTTGATATATAGAAAATATTTACGGTTTACTATTGGTCCTACATCTCATGATCTAGCACGTGCTCCTCTTAATATTGTATTTCAAAAATTAAAATAAAAAATCTACGCGCTTACTCATGAGCTAACTTTGTCTTATTTTTTAGGAATTAGAAGCACCAGCATAACTAATAATGACATTCATAGAAAACAAATGGATTAAATAAATAAATAAATAAATAAAAGTAGGTACAACCGTGCAGACACATGCATCATTTGTATATAATAAAACAAAAGGTAAAGATTGATGGGTTCACTCTCTTATTAAGAAAAATATAAAATGAAGCTAAGTGCACCAATATATACAAACCAACCCAACTGTTAAACTTTCTCACTTGTTCAAATACTTAAGGGACACATGCATATAATCTTTAAAGTTAGCACAAAGGAACAAAACAGGCTACATTAATTAAAATCATGAAGTAACTAAACATCCCTTTGTTTTAAAGCTTGAATTGAAGTTGTATATTTAGACTTGCATGATACACAACCATATACGCTCACATGGCATTTTGGCATTCTATGAATAAAAAGCTACTGATGAAACTCACATAAAAATTATAATTATGATGCTATACCTATGACAAAAAAGATTCATAATTAAGCTTTATTTAAAAATCACCATCGACAACATAGTTGACATTCTTATTTCTGACGACACGCATTGTTTGATCTCAGAAGTAGGACATGTAACACTTCAACTTGAATTGGCTAGTTGCATTGATCCTCTCTAACTCATCATGACCTCATTCCGCACCAAAGATTGGACCAAAAAAGGACACAAAGTGTCATCTCGTGACCAAGGTTATCGATAGCGGATAGCGTCGTATAGCGGTGAGGCATCGCTAAGGCTATTTGGGGCTATTACGGCAAAATAGCAGTAAAAAACGCAAAGTCAAATACTTGTCTAATTTAGATATGTATAAATATTAAAAAAATAAAAAAAATTAAAGAAAATTCTAGAAAATTTAAAAGTGCATTTGATGATTTAAATTTTAAAGAGATCCTAAACATGAAATAGATATGTAATCGTCACATAACACCGAAGACGACTGGATGAGTCAAAGAGTCGTCATCTTTGAGAAAATGAGCTAAGCGGTGAGAGGACTGCACTAGGAGGAGCTCACGATAAGAGGTGAGAGGAAGTGCTGAGGGAGGTGCTAGAGGTTATAGAAGGCGACAGGAGTACGTGGGAAATTAGGGGAGGCGGTGGGATGTAGTGGTTGCGGGTCAGTTTTGATTTTTAAAAAATAAACCTCAAACAACTTTTAAATAAAAATGGATTTTACCTGCAATCGCCTGCTATTCACTTCTATGACGCTATTGGCCGCTTTTGCAAGCAAAAAACGCATATTTCGTAATATGTCATCGCTATTGGGCGATAACGTAGCGGGAAGGGACCGCTAACGCTATTCGCGTCGCTATTGCGGGGCTATTTACCGCTATTTATAAAGTGCTCGTGACTCTTCTTGACTCTTCCCAACTAATACGATATAGTCCCACTACTAATGGGTAACATCCTGCATGTTGAGAGCACCATAAACATTCACATTAGGAGATATTTAGCACTTATCGGATCTCCCCTATCTATGTTTTGATTATGCTAGACGAACACAAATAGGTTAGGAACGAATCTTGAAGAATTATTTCGTAAAATTAAAAATGTGATATGATTCAGAATAAAGAGAAAGCTAATTCATAGAATTATCTTAAAATATCTACCATTCAACTGAAGCAGAATGACATTGGAGCATTGGCATCTTAGTGCATTGCTTCATTATGAGAAATTTTTTGCTTCACATCCTTCTTATAAGTGTCAACGTTTATCATGACATAATCTCACATCTTCATCTTCTTGAGAGGGCGCTTTTGCTGCTCTCTTATAGAGAATAGAAAGAGAAGAGTCATAAGGAGGTGAGAAAGTGCATAGCAGAGACGTTATGATAATCAGTAGAGGATTAATGGGCATTGAGTATAATGATGCAACTAATTAAAGTCGGTTAATAGGGGAATAAAAATGGAACACGGTTATGAATGTGAGAAGTTGCTCATTCTTATTGTTTATTTATTCATTTTTATTATAGTTATATTATATACTACACGCATGACCTGATTATAATATACTTATTTAACTTTATTTATTCATTTTTTATTTCTAGTATAATTTGCAGGCGTAATTGACTATTATCTTCCCCTCATTCTTATGTATCTTGTTGGAAGAAAGCCATCCTCTGAAATAACATTTCCTTAAAAATATCCCCAAAACTCAACGATATTTAGGTTTCTTTCAAAAAGGAAATTTTTTTACCATTATAGAAAATTACATGTAAAGCTTGTGATTGTAACAGTACGGAGACTGAAGGAGGGGAATAAAACTTGTAACTTTCAAGGAGTTTTTTGCCCTTTCTTAATTGTATTGAATTTGAGTTCATCACTCTCCATTGTCCGAGTGCTATACTTGCATTAAGCAATTATGAAACTTAAGGATTTTTAATTACCTAACGGTTCCAAATCATTACCTTCATCCATGCCAACTCTTCTATATTCTTTAAATATAATGAAAAAGGCTCATTCATAACGTAGGCATTAAATTACATGAGTTATGGAATCTTAAGGATTTTTAATTAATAATTAATAATTAATAAATAAAAAATAAAATGGGGGAAAAAATAAAATGGGAATTATGAAACTTAAAAGGGGTAATATAGGCATTCAAAAGTTTTGATTACCATATTCTCTTTTATAAGTAGCACTGTTTTAAAAAACCTCCGCCTAGTCCGCTTAGGCGTACGCCTAGGCCTAGGCGGTACCTAGGCCGCCTAACTAGCGCCTAGCGCCTAGGCGGTATTTAGGATGCCCACCTAGATTTTACGAGCGTTTAGGGGAGCATTGTCTGCTTACGTGGATTGCACCCTGTAGGCCTTAATTGTGATTTTATGTGTCGTAGCCTACACGTCCTCCAAACTCCATTAACCTCCAAATATGAACACCTCCACTACCTCCTCCGACCTTCAGCAAAACCTCATCGACCACCACTTAAATGAAGAAAGAAAAAAACGCCTAGAAACCGCTTAAGCGCCCGCCTAGGCGACTAAGTGCTGAGCGCCAAGTTCGACGCCTAGAAGCGCACAGCGTTTAATGTAACATTGATAAGTAGTATAGATTGTTTCTTTCATTTATTGATTTAAATTCTTTAGAATGTTGTATTCTGAAAAAATGACTTATATCAATTCCTCAATATGCTAGTCTTAAACTTGGAACTAGCATCATAACAAATGTATTCCTCTTATAATGGCAGGTCCATCTGCACAAGCAAATAGAACGGTTGCTGGAATAATTGACGGGAAATTTGAGCATGGTTATTTTGTAACCGTCACCATAGGCAATCAAAATCTCAAAGGAGTAATCTTTCACACTCCAGAGCAGGCTACCAACCAAACGGCTGACAACACCAATGTCAATGTTGGTCGCCGTCGTCGTCGGAAGAAGAAACTTAGCACAAGAGATCCTACACATCCGAAGCCTAATCGGAGTGGTTACAACTTTTTCTTCGCAGAGCAGCATGCTAGGCTGAAACCACTTCATCCAGGGAAGGACAGAGTTATCAGCAAAATTATTGGCGAACTATGGAGCAAACTAACAGAGACCGAGAAAGCTGTAAGAACTAAGAGCACAGTTATGTTAAAATTTCACAATCTCCCTAAACTTTGGGGATTTTTGCACAAAACCTCCTCACTTTCCAAAGTTATTTAAACCGTCTTGAACTATTGGAAATTTCGTAAATGGCGTTAACAGGCAGAGTAAAAGTCTAACAACATGATCTTGAAGTTGTGTTTGTTCTTCCACATGAATCTTTTTTATTTAAAAATTTTATCATACACTTTGATTTGCCATAGTTCAAATTCATACTCTACCTGCTAACTTGTTTATGAGAGTTTTTCCAATAGTTCAGGTGGGTTTGGTATAATTTTGAAAGGGGTTAATTGCCGAGAGAATCCCTGTAATATCATTTTTTTCGAACTTGCTGCCCCTCTAGTTGACTCAGCAAGTGAATTTTGACTCTTATACCCTCAAGAGAAAGAGAAATTGTTGTGACAAAGAGACCCTTTGAGGGTAAAAGAGTCAAAAATATTTCATTCTGGGGGTACATCTGCAAAATTAAAACTAAGAAGGCTAGTAAGTTCAGAAAACCCTTAAAAGTCCAGGGTTTTTTTTTGTGAAATTTGGCTCACTTAAACTAGCTTTATCTATCTAACACCTCTTTCTATCGTTCTGCTTTCTTCAACTTTTACTTCAGGTTTATCAGGAGAGAGGTATGAAGGATAAGGAAAGGTATATAAGTGAGATGGAAGTTTACAGGGGGAGATTAAATACGGGTCAAGGTTATAGCAAATGCCGTTCCTATTCAAGCTGATTCCCGCTGAGTCGGTGGGCAGCCAAAACAATATTGACGAAGGCGAGTTGAATGAAGAAGATAATAATGGTAGCTTCACTGATGATGATAGTAGCGAGAGCGAGGGCAACAAGTCAGAGGAATCAGAACCTGAGGATTACCCTGATGTAGTAGATGTAGCAGCTGTTGAACCTGCTAGTTTTGCTGCAGATGCCTCGGCCAAAGGAGGTGATTTTGAGTCGAAAGAAGTTTCAGAACCGTCTAGTGATCAGCTGTAGGCTCTCACGTTTTTGTGGTTAGTGAGCGCACAAGAACAACTGTCAGTTTACATTGTTAAATTTCCCTTTTTTTTTTGTTAAGGATATATTTTACATTGTGAAGCTGTTGTTAGAGCTTTAGAGGGGGGAAAACATGTATATGGTTAGTCTGAAAAGATGATGTTAGTGGAGTTCGTAAGTGGGATTATGTCGCGACTTGTGTTAAGTTTTGTTTGCAATATGATTTGGATTTGGATCCTATTTAGGTGGGTTGATTATGGCCGTTTATCATATAATGCATGTTCATGATTTATTTTGAGTCAAATGTAGGGATAAATGGAAGTCGGGGTATATATGCAAAGGGTTTTTTGCCTGTATACCCCTCAAACTCTTCCTCTAATTCCCTCACTAAATTAATGTAATGGAAAATCAACAAATCACTATGCAATTTCGAAAAATCTGCTCTTTTTTTGTTGTGGGAACTTCTCACTTGTAACGTAATAAACATTTTTTCCGCTCCATTTGGCCCTAAGAAACTAGTATAAAAGCAAGAAGTTCAAGCTTGGTGAATCCATAGTCCATTTCGTATTTATTTTGTTCTCAACTTAGTCTTTGTACTATACTTTAGTTATAAACTAAGTCTTTTATTAACACTAGTTTTTACACACGTACAATGCACGTGATTTAATACCATGATTAAGTATTTTTGGCAGTTTGTGCTCATTTTTTCTTTAAACTCTTGCATCCTGATTTTTTTTATGTTTGTTTAAATGGGATACACCTAATTTAAATTTTCATGTTGATATTTGAATTAACAAAAAACAAATATAATTTAAAAATAATTTGAATTTTCATATTATTTTTGACCGATATGAAACTAAGCTTTATTTGAGAAAGTATAGCATTGCAAAGTGAAAAATATTAAAATAGTGTTATACAAGGAAGGTGAATATTTAAAACCAATATGACAAAATGATTGATTTAAAGTATGTTAAAACGATGCAAAAGAGAAAATAAAGTTTATTCCTAACCATTGATAGACTTCATAAAAAAAATATAAATTAAAGATTAATGCTAACTCTAATATACTTTTATATGATAAAAACATCCACATAAGAATATAAAAGTATTAAAAATTTCATGAAACTCCCTTCTAAAGATTCCTAATTTCACTCAAAATAATTAAACTATTCTATAAAATATTCAGAAAATATTGTTTTTTATTTCTTCTATTTTATTTTTTATTGAGTTAAGATCAATCCTTCTTCAGGTTTATCATTTATCATTTCTCGGGCAATTCTAGAGTATTGTCTTCATCATCTACATCAATTGTGACATCAGGCTAATTTTGTATTTTTTATGCTATTATCTTTCCTGGGCTCGTTAATTTTTTATCATCTCATTTAACTTTACAAAGAAGTCAAATGTACTTATGATGTTCAACACAAACTGCTCAAAATATAGACTTTGATTTTTTTTTCTATTTCAATGAGAATAAATATTAATTTCATATATATAAAATTCTTTGTGTTCCTAATTTATTACTTAAATAAATTAGAAGCTATCTCTTTATTTTCCTCTAAAATGAATTCTTCTGATGTGCATCCAATAAGAATTTCTATTATTTCAATAATATTATCTTTGCTCTATCCCTGTCATTTTCCATAAAGATCTAAACTAAATACCTGTATTATTCATTACCAATTTCTCTTAGATTATAATATTAATATTTAATTTTAAGAACACAGTATGGAATTTATGAATATTTACTAATTTTTCTTATGTCTTCCATGGAGATTTTTTCTTTGATTAGGATAAAGTTATTAAATTATTTTTTAATGTAACTCATTCAGTGCTTCATTAATAGATATGTCTTATGTTAATGCCAATTCAAGTGATTCATTGACGTTTTCTGAATTTTAGATTTATTTCCATTACTTTCCCATTTGCAATGGAAATAACTCAATTCTTTTAAAGTTATCTCTAAATATTCTAATAGTTTCTCCATATGTAATTCCTTGTATTCTTTTACCATATAAATATTATTAACGTCAAAGATTAAAGTTTTTAAATTAAAATCAATTAATGCTATCATTTCTATGGAATTAAACATCTATCAATTAATGTTACGAATGTATTTTGGCTACCCCAACTTATTACTAAAATTATATGAAATTAATTTAATTTATATTGTGCCGATAATTTTTAATCTATAATATTTTTAAAAATTTTATCCATTAACCGGATGTTTTTAATCAATTCTTATTGTTTTTGTTTACCAGTATCAACTTAGACTATTCTTAGATGCTGAAAATGGATAGTAAATCCCTAAATTAGAAATTTTAATATATATATATATATGAAAAAGACCAAACAATTACACTTTTTTTTGCCATGTTTTAAAATTTTAGCTCATTTTTGTGGTTTTGAACTTTGAGGGTGTGATTTGTAATTTTTAAAATTTTGAAAGAGTTTTTAAAAAAATTTACTTTTAAGTTTGGTAGTTATAAATTCTATGTTTCATGTGTTGATGGTAATTTTTTAAATATTAGTATATTTCTTGTAACTCTAAAATTTCAAGGGTGTCTTTTGCAATTATTAAAACTATAGATTAATTTTGAAAAATATTAAATTTTAGCAGTCTACCAATCGACGAATTTAATGTGTGCTAGTTAAAAATTTTGAAAATTTAGAATTTTTTTACGATTTTTAAATTTTGAAGGAGTTTTTTAAAAATTTTGAGGTTAATTTCGGTAAATTTTAATTTTTTAGGTGTCTAAGGGTAATATATTAAATTCATCTTATGTTATTTATAAATTTTAGAATTTTAGGGTGGCTTTTTATAATTTGAACTTTTGAAGGTGTTTCTATAATTTTTGAGATATTGATGGTGTTAATTAAAAAATTTAAATTTAAATGTCAAAAATTTTAGGTGTATCATGGTAATCTCTTGAATTCATCTGTGTTGTTTGTAAGTTTTAAAATTTTAGAATTTTAATGTGCTTGTCTGTAATTTAAACTTTTGAGGGTGTTTCTATAATTTTTGAGACATTGAGGTGTTAACTGTAAATTTTAAATTCTTTGCAAACTGATGTTAATTTTTTAATTTCATGTTTTTTATTTTAAGTTTTGAGACATTGGGATGATTTTTATAATTTTGAACTTTTCAGGGTCTTTTCAGGGTCTTTTCTGCAATTTTAAAACTTTTTATGGTTTTTTGCAATACTTCATGTATTATAATATGTTATCTACTTGTAATTTCTTTATCTTAACAAACTAATATCATTTTTATGTTTTATATATTTTATTAATATTAGTTTTTTTAAATTGTTAAGCTAAACATGGTTCACATAGGATTAGGATAAGATATGATTATGATTAGGATAGATTAAGATATAAATAAAATATTCAAAATAGTGAAGGGTAATATTGACCATTGAAAATTAGAATTTGATTATAGATAAGGTAGTTCAAACTATAAAGGGGTATATTTGTCTAAAAAAGATTTTCAATAATATTGACCATTGAAAATTAGAATTTGATTATAGATAAGGTAGTTCAAACTATAAAGGGGTATATTTGTCTAAAAAAGATTTTCCGTATGATTAGGGTAGATTAAGATATAAATAAAATATTCAAAATAGTGAAGGGTAATATTGACCATTGAAAATTAGAATTTGATTATAGATAAGGTAGTTCAAACTATAAAGGGGTATATTTGTCTAAAAAAGATTTTCCGAACTCGTGCTTTTAAAGGGAGTATGATTTGTTAAAATATGATTGTTGAATTTTTGCTAATGACCACATTGCCCTCAATTCGTTCTATTGTCAATCAACACCTTGATTTTTTTTTTGTTTCTCATAAACTTCCCTCTTTTAATTTACGGAAATTTTTTTATTTCCCATAATTGTTTTACTTCGTTAACAAAAATAACAAAATGAGCAGTATGTTCATATATCTAATAATAAATTAATGAATTAATGTATTGGAACATTAAGATAATGTTTATAGCATACAAAAAACAATGATAGCATACAAGTTTTGCAATGAAAATAATAATTTTCCCTCTTTTCAGTTTTCCTTTGCTCCTGAAGACTTGAAGAAATTTGGGTCTACACAATGGGCCAACCCCAGGGGTTTCTAAGCCGGCTGGCCAGGCCGACTTGGCACAGAATTCTAGGCCGGGTTAGAAGCCCTGCCCGAACCCTGACCGTTGGGCACTAGATAGGTCCGGATTGTTTTAATATTTTTTTCCTTAAAAATTATGTTTTTAACAAAAAATCAAAATAAATTAGATTTTTTTGCAAAAAAAAAAAAATGGAACTTTAGAAGTAATAACAATGATGTGAAATTATGACAACTTGCAAAGAAATTCTATTTTATTATTAATCTAATAATCTCTATCAATTACAATACTCTTTAAAAATTGTCGCATTGCAATAGATGGGTAGGGGTGCAATAGATGGGTACATTCCAACTAGGTTGGCACCTACCCATCTATATCAATATAATTTGCAATTCTTTCCAAAATAATTTATTACAGATGAGTACAATACAACTAGAGTATCTTGGTACCTTCTATTTTTGTTCTACAGCGGAATCTGCTATCATTAAAAATTAAAGTCTATCTTCGATATTAACAACACAGTCAACATTTTGACATTTTTTTCCAATGTCTACCAATCTTGTAAGAACATAAATGGTAGCCGGATCTAGCAATGACATGTGGTAGTCAATCAAGCGCCTTGATGCACTGATTGTGCATTCCAGAACTACAATAGAAACATGCACTGTTAGTAAATCACGAGTCATAATGAAAAGTATAATATTGTTCAATTTCAGAAACTTCTCTTACGAATGATCCATCACGATCACTAGTACCAGTACAACCAGTTAGTTGGTCTATTAACATCTGCTAATCAAATGAACACGATCCTATACTCGGGATAGAGTTCGAAGCTATAAGAGCCATATCTTGAGAACTTCCACCATGTTTAGCTGCATATTCTTCGTATAATTTTTGAAAATAAAATTTGATAGTGTTGTGATGACTAAGAGCAGTAATAGGCTCACCTGCATCATTCACACCTACTGTGTTGCCACATAAATAATTCAACAGAACTGGGAGCGTAACATCCTTCAAGCATGGATCAATAAGAGAGCCCCCCCCCAAAAAAAAAAGGAATGGGTCTAAAGTCCTCTTTAAGTTTTATTTCCACTTGTGTAATCATATTTGAAAAAAAATGATACGGTTGCGA